ATTCTGTCGATTATAGACTTTGTTGGTTTGTCTGGATTCACAGTTGAGGAAAAAGGCAATTGTGAAATCAAGATCATCACAAGACTAGTGATGATCAGATTCATATTCATATAGTGAGTCATTTTGGTGTGTGATATATGCTTACGAAGACGTACATAAGCATATAAATTTATACTCAGATTACTACTATACATTACTATATAATCTAGGTATAATCTATCATTTCCTTTTTTCAATATTTGAAAAAGCTTTTTGCAACTAGGTATACATTACGGTCGATGATATTATACCAAAAACTGAAAATACGTCAACGATAATCTATTCATAAAGGAAATAAAAGGAGCAAATTTTGTAAGCCAAATCGAAATCAATTATATATATATATCTTAAAGTAAATAAAAGGAGCGAGTTTTGTAAACCAAATCGAAATCAATAACTATGTATATATATCTTAAAGGAAATAGAAGGAGCAAATTTTGGGCCTGATTGGTTGTGGCTTTAGAATCTTTCCACAGCCATATTTTTCTCTACAGCCACATGTCCACAGCAATCATGCTTTACATTTATTTTTAAAGTCTACAACCACTTTTCACTTTTTTCCTTTTTTTGGGCTGTAGAAACGTCAAAAGCCACAGACATAAGTTTTGGGCTGTAGAGTATTTTTTATTTAGTTTTTATTCAGAAAACAAATTGAGAAGAAACCCTACCTTGGAACTTATATCTTATATAATATGAGAAGGTTTTCTTCTCACTTTTCCTACCATTGCGACATTTGGCACTCTCTTTTGGTGACAAGTGTCCTCCTTCAATGCATCAATGTTTGTTTTATTTTATTTTAAATCTTTAGTTTTGAAAGTTTGTGCCTACAATTTAATTCCAAAAAATATTTCTCTTATCCTATCGGTACATTTGACATGTATTTAAACTGAAATTGTATCTAATTTATTTTACCAAAATTATTATCTACTTAAAATCACCACTTATCCTATTGGTACAATAGTATATTTTTAAAACTTCTCATAATATTAGTACATTTGGCATCTATTTTTAAATTTAATTGTTTTCCTCATTTTTCTATCTTACATAATATTTTAATATCTCCATAAAATACATTTCTAATCTTTTCTAATTTGTCTTTTTTTTTTCTTCTTTCCAATTTTACTTTTTTTTTGTTTTAATTTTTATAACACCAATTTATTCTCAAAATCACCACTTATCTTATTGGTACAATAGTACATTTTTTAAACTTCTCATAATATTAGTACATTTGGCATCTATTTTTAAATTTAATTGTTTTCCTCATTTTTCTATCTTACATAATATTTCAATATCTCCATAAAATACATTTCTATTCTTTTCTAATTTGTCTTTTTTTTTCTTCTTTCCAATTTCACTTTTTTTTTTTGTTTTAATTTTTATAACACCAATTTATTCTCAAAATCACCACTTATCCTATTGGTACAATAGTACATTTTTTAAACTTCTCATAATATTAGTACATTTGGCATCTATTTTAAAATTAATTGTTTTCCTTATTTTTCTATCTTACATAATATTTTAATATCTCCATAAAATACATTTTTAATCTTTTATAATTTGTCTTTTTTTTCTTCTTTCCAATTTCACTTTTTTTTGTTTTAATTTTTATAACACCAATTTATTCTCACATGTTACAACTCCAAGTTGGAGAATTTATTTACAATTTTTATTACACAATACATTTAATGTATTTATATAGTATAATATAATTTACAGGAATTATTAAATTTAATATGTCATCCCATATATTGTTTTATAAATGTCTCAGTAAATGAAATTCTAACTTATGTAATAGTCAATGTAATTTTAATAAAGAAATATAGTAACATGCATTATATTAATGTATTGCTCCATGTGTTACGCCTTTTCTCAAAATAAATGTTTGTGAAGAGTTTTCTTCTCTAGTAACGCTTTTCATGTGGCTTCTAATACCGAAATATATTAGTGTTTTTTTTTTGTTCTGGAATTAGTTACCCAAAGTAAAACCCACAAATGAACTTATTAAAACATATGTAACGTCAAACAACTCTAATTGATGCATTAGGCTAACAGATAACCACAATAACTCCAATTAATTCAAAACATTAAATCCAATTAATTCTTGTATATATTACCCACATGTGAAGCTAAAAAAAACTCTACAAGAGTTTTTGCTTTTTCCAGTCCGTTCTTTTATTTTTATTGACTTTTAGTTGCTTTCTCTTTATTTCAGGCTATCATCCACATAATAAAAATATCTACAAAAGTTTTCTCATTTGGTGTTCAAGTTAATTAGGTTTGTGATTTCATATGGTGTTCAAGTTAGCTTCACCAACACCATTAGTTCTACATAAAAGTGTTCTATTTTTAAGTTCTATTTTTAATTGTTTCTCTATTTTTCAACTCACCAATAAGATTTATATACATACATTGAGAATATTTATATCTATTATTATGGTCAGTTAAAGTGTAATTATAAATTTAAGTATTAAGATAAATGACAGTACATTATATTTATTAAATTTTCTTACTCTTATGATCTATATGTATTCATAAATTTGAAAACCATAAGTTTGTTAAAAAAATTATGATATAAATTGAAAAACCATTTATGTAATTATTCTCAACATCACTTATCAAAAAGTTAAGAGTTTGTTTTCTTTTTTTTTTTTAATACGTAAAGTTGTTTCAAGATGATTTTGTTATTGAATACGTAAAACTAATGGGACCATGAGTCAAAAAAAAAAAATCAAATAGTTTATGCCATTCTTTGTTTCTTTTACATAATTACTCAACGTTTGAGAGGAATCGACGTTTGAGTTTCGTATATCTCGAATAAATAGTTTTCTGATTTTTAATATTGTATAATATTTGACTTGATTATGTTTTGAATTCAATTTTTTTTAGTTAATCATACAAATTAAGTAAGAAATAAAGATCATATGAAAGAATATAAAATTTGTATTTATTTTTATAAAAGATTCCATAAAACCAACCCAATGAAATTCAACCAAAAAATTTAAAAAGTTCCACCAAAGGTTTTTTTTTTTTATGTATGCTCATGGGATTTTTGAAAAGAATTATGTTTGATAAGGGTAATTGCATAGAATATCATAATTAGCTTATTCAGTTAAAATCTAACATGTCATTAAAGTATTTAGGTAAACGGCATTACATTATATTTATTAAAGTTTTTTTCTCTTATGACCTACATATATATATATATATATATATATATATATATATATATATATATATATACAGTAAAACCTCTATAAATTAATACTCTATAAATTAATAACCTCTCTAAATTAATAAATTCTTCCGGTCCCGAGTTGGGACCAGTGTAAAATATGACATAAATCGATAAATTAATAAGATAATAATTTTTTTGAAAATCTCATGTAAACATATGGTCCCATCTATATCATAAATTAATAATTGTATAAACTTATTAATATATATATATATATATATATATGTATATTTAACTTAATATATATATGATATAAATTTATATATGTTATATATGAATTACTATGATATATATTTAAAATATTATATGTAAAATATGACTCTATTATTCGGAAAAAAATTTGTATTATCTTTTAAACTTAATAACTGTTTTTCTACTTGTAATTGGTTTTAAAAAGATATTGCTTATATAAAAAAAATTTATTTTTAGATAGAAATTTTTTAAGAAATAAAAAAATTAGTAAAATCTCTCTATAAATTAATAATTATTAATTTATCGATAAATTAATACCTCTCTAAATTAATAAAATTTCATAGTCCCAACATTATTTATTTATAGAGGTTTTACTGTATATATATTAAAACTGAACTAAATTTTTTTAATATAAACTTTTAAAAATAAAATTTTTATTATATCATCTAAAATCATTTTCCTAAATTAAATATGATTATAATTAAGTGTAACATATATTATAATCGGCATCAGAGTTCTGCAAACGGGGAATGAAACTAAACGAAATAACATCAAAGGTATAAGATAAAATCAGGATATCAAAGAGAATCCCATAAAGCTCCTTGTGCTGAAGCTCTGATTTTAAAGCTTTGACTAGCTGTGCTTAGTCAGAAGCGAGAAAGAGATGTGAAAACCCCAAATTAACATATATAAAATATGTGTCCTCCTTCAATGCATCAATGTTTGTTTTATTTTATTTAAAT